GCCGCTGGCAACTGCCAGCGGCAACTGTACGCGGGCTATATAGTACTAGAGCTAGCTCTAGGCCTACTCGTTTAGGCTATTGCTGGCCACAGGGTATGGCTACACGTGTAGAGAGCTACGTGCGTGTATGAAGGTAACTGCCAATGATTGGCTTCGAAATCGAATGTTGACGTCGCAACAGCGATACTGACACTGTGAGTGTGAGTGAAACCTCCTTACAAGTCATACAACCACTGGCAGCAAGAACAAGTCCGCACCTGCAGCTACAGCACACACACGGCCATTGCCTATATATAACAACAATGTTGTAATATTATATAGTCAATGGCCACGTGTGTGCTGTAGCTGCAGGTGCGGACTTGTTCTTGCTGCCAGTGCATACAACAGTCAACACGGGGAATTCCGCCTTGAATTTGAAGTTGATATCGCTTAGTCGAACATGGGTCCCAATAAAACCAATGTCATTTATATCAATATAAATATAATATTATATCAATATAATACTTTAATAGGGTTATGGTTAGGGTTAGGGTTAGGATTAGGGTTAGGATTAGGGTTAGGGTTAGGGTTAGAATTAGGGTTAGGGTGGCCCAAGGATAGAGAACATGGGTCCCAATAAAACCAATGTGCCTAACCCTAACCCTAACCCTAACAATAACCCTAACCATAACCCTAACCTATTATATTGATATAATATTATATTTATATTGATGTAAATGACATTGGTTTTATTGGGACCCATGTTCTCTATCCTTGAACCGTTAGGGTTAGGGTTAGGCACATTGGTTTTATTGGGACCCATGTTCTCTATGATCTATCCTTGGGCCGTCGATAGTGCTACTGAGTACTGTTAAAAGGAAATCACCGCACCTTCCAAGTCATCTGAGCCTTTTTCCTCGGTCTCTGCCATTCCATAAAATCACGAATAAACTACCTAACTTACAATAAGTTAAATGTTAACTATGTATACTAAAATAACACGAGAAAGTGTTTTCGAGAAGTGACACATTCGAGGCGGATACGGCGACGGATGTTAGTTGAACTTAGTTCCGCCACAACCATGTGACCACTAGCAAACCACTACCGGTTCGTCAGTCATGACAAATCATCAACGAATCAGAGGGCCGCTCGCATCGTAACAGCTAGAGTCTGCATGGCTGAGCTGCGTAGAAATATATAAATTATAATGTACTAGCGGGATACCGGGCGTTGCCCGGGGAAATCAGTGGCGTTACTCAGTTAGGGCCGTTGGTTAAAAGCAAATCGCAAAAAAAAATCTAATCTATCGTATCTACCATGCATCCATACCATCGCCATTCATGGCCATGCGCATCGCATCCATCGCAGCGCATCCCATCGCACCCGACTCGGCCCCACCCATCCCATCCCATCCACATCCATCCCATGCCATCATCCCATCCCATCCAGCCATCCCCTGCATCGCATCTTCATCGGCACCCATGCATCCCATGCCCATTACCCTATGCAATGGCGCATGCCAATCGATGCCATGCCATCTCCATCCAATCCATCCCATCCATTGCACCGCATCCGCATGCCAGTCCCCATCCCATGCCATCCCATCGCATGTCATTTCCCATGCCAGCTCACTGCATGCCCATATTCCATCCAATCCCAAACAGTAAAAAATAATAAGAAATCAAAAGACAAAGACATTAAAAATAAAAATATAAATAAATTTAAAAAATAATAAATTAAATAAATTAAAAATAATACATACTTAAAGAGGAGGTTTCAGGCCAGAACCACCTCCCCAGACGTGGCTGATTCTGAAAATATTCTTTTAGTTTTCCTCTAGGCTGGCGGCCAGCTCATTATGCGAGTACCGGTGCTATTCGGTTGAACAACTTTAAATATTATAGATAGAGATACCTACCTATATTATTTCTATGCTGAGCTGTATATAATCGGAGCCTGTATAGCATCATAGAATAAAGATACTTCTATTCTATATTTATGATAGCACAAACAATGTCATTATTGTTATATCAGCTATCCATATTGTCAAGAGTCCATAATAGAAAATTTAGTCCATAATAGAAGAATTTTTCTATTGTGGACTCTCATATTGTTAGTCTATGAGCATAGATATTTCTATAAGCACGCATTATATTCAGCTTGTTGCCCGGCATACGCATGCATGTGTGTTGTGTGTGTGTGTGTGTGTGTGCGTGCGTACGTGCGTCGTGTGGGTGCTGTGTGTGTGTGTGTGTGTCCGCGCGTGCGTGCGTGCGTGCGTTCGTGGTGGGTGCGTGGTGCGTCGTGCGTGCCGTGCCGTGCGTGCGTGGCAGGCGGGCGGGCGGAGTGCGTGGTGCGTGTGTGGCGTGTGTGTGCGTGTGCGCGCGCCCGCGTGTGTATGTGTGTGTGTGAAACCTACCTGAAGCAGAGCTGCAATGAAGAATATGATGATGATCCTCGCGGTAACACAGCAACATGCAGCAGTATGGTCCACGTTATCGTGTACGTCACGCACGCATTTATTATATTTTTTTATTTTCGTTACCGTAGCTATATGAGATGGGACTATATCGAAAACAGAAAGAGAAGAGACTTGACATAATAGACAGAGCAACACTGCAGTTCACGGTAGAAAAAGCTTCAATTTTGAAATTGATCAAAGAAGAACGGAACATAATTCCAATATGGAATGGCAGAAACGGAGATGCTATATACCAAAAGGAATCCTTTGACAACAGTCAGCACCGAATAAGGATGACACAAAAAATTAATGAAAATAATTAGAATGTTTCCAGTGCATACACAACATACACTTTATTCATGCTAATTACCACAGATTCACAATGAAATTCACTCGAGAATGTTAGTAGCGAGTCTGAGGCGACATGGTGCAAATTTCCAGCAGATTTGCGTAATCCCTTTTCACACACAAACACACTGGTCCGGTCACCACACCCACGGCCGCATCACTTATACACAAAACAAATGAACTTTGATGCTTTATACACGTTCGAACTATTCCTTGCTATTCTGTGTATATTGAGATGTGTGATCCATGGAATCTTAAATCGATTAAAAAAAAAAGTTGCAACGCGTAGTAATATATACGATAGACTAACTAATTATATCATTGTCAACGCTCGCAACGCACGGCTACGGACGTGTCCACTCCGTAATGACGCTTCGTGCAGCTTTTTACATGATAACGAATTGTTCTCTGACAACTCTGCTGATAATGTATAATTAGGGAATAGCATAACAAGAACACGATTTCGGTGCAACTATAAATATAACGGAGTAGGCCCTAATGTTGATCACATAAACGCACGCATGCACGCGCGCGCACACATATATATGTATATATATATATATATATATAATATATATATATATATATATATATATAGTATTACAACCATAAAATTTTAATAAACTGCACATCATCAACGATTATTATACCAGCATTTTTACTATAGTAACTTCCATTTACAGTGGTATCATGAGCCGCCTGGTCTCCGTACCGTATAATTACAATAGATAAAAAATAAAACATCCTATATATACTCACACATATAAACATAGACATGTTCTTGTTAACACGTACAGAAGAAACGCTAAAACTCTTTATCTAATAATCTGCGTAAAATAAGTTAAAAGGGTACAACACCTTATCTATGTCGTTTAGAATTGCATACACTTATACACTTGATTGCAATGTTATCTAGCAGCTCTGATTAACACAGGTAAGCTTTATTTCGCTAGGATGATATGAAATACACACACGATAACCAAACGTCAGTAAAAATTCCTACATTAATTAATAACAATAAATATAACAACAACAACAATAGTAATAATAATAATAATAATAATAATATAATAATAATAATAATAGATAGATAGATAGATAGATATACAATCGATTGATCAATCGATAGATAGATAGATATAGACAGATAGATAGATTGATAGCTAGATATATGATAGATAAGATAGATAGATAGATAGATAGATATAGATAGATAGATAGATAGACAGATAAATAGATAGATAATAGATAGAATAGATAGATAGATAGATAGATAGATAGATAGATAGATAGATAGATAGATAGATAGATAGATAGGATAGATAGATAGATAGATAGATATAATAGATAAGATAGATAGATAGATAGATAGATAGATAGCTACACTGGTGCATCAGCAAATACCTCTATTATACATACGTAGATGATATATACAATATCCTTCAGTTTACTGCTGGCTTCACAACGTTCTATTACCATTCCTATCAGATGATGAGCGCGTTAATACTATCAACTGCTAGTCGGTCACCTTTTCAACCCTCCAACTTGAGAGTATAGGCGTGGGGCGATGGATACGCAGTCTAGCATGTATGAATTTGCGCCAGGTATACTACGTGTGCAGCAAATAGCAGAATCGAGCGCGGAAATAATTTCCCCCTGTATGTGGGGGGAGGGGACACATCCCGTGATAGCCATTATCTGCCTGAATGGCTGCATGGTAAGAAGCTAACCGACTCACTAGGAGACAGTTGAGAAATTAGAACATGTTCTATTCTCTCAACTATAGTTGACATTGAGCGCTTAACCTTCACGTTTACATTGCCGACTTTCGGTCGAATAGTTGAAAAGTTGATCTATACTCGTCAGCTTTCCAACTAAAAGTTGATAGTGTAAACCCAGCTTTTGTATGAACGTTTAAAATGATGCAGAATTAACTGAACTGAACTCAGATATCTGATCATGAGTGACGATCTACTAAGTTTACACATATGATGCTTGCAGTTGTACGAGATCTTCTATGCCATACTATCACGAACATACATAATACGTGTGTGTGTGTGCGTGCGTGCGTGCGTGCGTGCGTGCGTGCGTGCGTGCGTGTGTAGGTGTTTGTGTTATGTGTGTGTGTGCGTGCGTGCGTGCGTGCGTGCGTAGGTGTTTGTGTAATGTGTGTGTGTGCGCCGCGTGCGTGCGTGTGTGTATGTGTGTGTGTGTGCGTGTGCACGTGTGCGTGCACGTGCGCGTGTTCATTATACTATATACTGCATCAAATTAGCTCTTTCTAATTCGGCACAGACCTTTCAGTTGTAAAACTTGATATATGATTTGCAACATTTTGCCTTTCAATGACTGCAAAATATACAACTACGGCTTTTACAACATTAATAGTTATATATAATACGTTTTTTTTTATAATACCTAGATGACGAAAAAAGTATAATGTTTAGCTGATGACTAATTATCGTGCAGAGCTGCAATGAAGAATATGATGAGGATCCTCGCGGTAACACAGCCAACATGCAGCAGTATGGTCACGTTATCGTTACGTCACGCACGCAATTTATTATATTTTGTATTTTCGTACCGTAGCTATATGAGATGGGACTATATCGAAAACAGAAAGAGAAAGAGAACGTTGATCAAATAGACAGAGCAACACTGCAGATCACGGTAGAAAAAGCTTCAATTTTGAAATTGATCAAAGAAGAAGGAACATAATTCCAATATGGAATGGCAGAAACGGAGATGCTATACCAAAAGGAATCCTTTGACAACAGTCAGCAGGCCCGAATAAGGATGACACAAAAAATTAATGAAAATAATTAGAATGTTTCAGTGCATACACAACATACTTTATTCATGCTAAATTACCACAGATTCACAATGAAATTTCACTCGAGAATGTTAGTAGCGAGTCTGAGCGACATGGTGCAAATTTCCAGCAAGTTTGCGGTATCCCTTTTCACACACAAACACACTGGTCCGGTCACCACACCCACGGCCGCATCACTTATACACAAAACAAATGAACCTTTGATGCTTTCTACACGTTCGAACTATTCCTTGCTATTCTGTGTATATTGAGATGTGTGATCCATGGAATCTTAATCGATTAAAAAAAAAGTTGCAACCGTATTAATATATAAATGGACTAACTAATATATCATGTCAACGCTCGCAACGCACGGCTACGGACGTGTCCACTCCGTAATGACGCTTCGTGCAGCTTTTTACATGATAACGAATTGTTCTTTGACAACTCTGCTGATAATGTATAATTAGTTAATAAAATAAACACATAGCATAACAAGAACACGATTTCGGTGCAACTATAAATATAACGGAGTAATGTTGATCACATAAACGCACGCATGCACGCGCGCGCACACAATATA